ACGTAACTTACTTAACTAAGTAGACGTACCTTACCTTTACGTTACTACTAGTACACCACTACCACTACGTACTACGTTACTTAGTTCTACTCTCTCTCTCTCTCTCTCTCTCTCTCTCTCTCTCTCTCTCTCTCCGTCCAGCAGCTCCCTCTCTGCTCCCTTATACACTCTTTTCTTGCCGTTCGCTCTTCTCCCAATCTTTCTGCCCCCTCCTCCATATCTCTCTCCACCTTCCCTCTCTCTCTCTCCCCCTCAGCCCTCCAATTATCTCTCTTTACCCTCCCCCTATGGCCCTTTGATAAGATCACATGCACTTCTCTTGCAACCTCCCCCCACCCAAAACAACAAAATAAATAAATAAATAAAAATAATAAAATGAAAAATCTCTCTTTGCTTTGTGTCCAATCCAACCATTTATTGAAGGCCAGTGTAGAAGGTAAGTAACCTAGGGTTTCATTTCATTGTTTCAATTGCTTTTTTTTTGCGTTCTGCTTTGTGTATTTCAGTTTTGCTTGTTTTCATTTAGGATTCTACTTTATTATAATTATTATTGGATATTCTTAATTACTAATGGAAGTTGTAGTGTATTAGAGATACTAGCAGTAGAACGTGCGTTGCACATTTTAACCCGTGTGATTTTTCATAGGTGGAAATGATGTATTATTTTAAATTTGTTGTTAAGGGGTTTGTCCTCTATGAAAAAGTGTAAAAGATTCAATAAATACTATTAACATAAGCATTCTATATATGTATAAATGTTTTGATGTTCTCAATGTAAACTAATAAGCTGCTGAATGTAAAGGGAATTTGTGAGTTTAATATGAGGGCAAAGATTCGAATGTTTATGTCGTAATCCATTAACAGTTCACTTCCTTAGGCCCAATGTAAGAATATTTTCTGGACTCCAAAATTTGGGGATGCAACATCTTCGACCTAGCAAGCAACCTTAGAAAAAAAAGAATCACTCTGCAGATTCATAGAATGATAGCCTAATATCAAACAGAGAATGTCTACATAAACTCAAAATCCAAAATACTCTTTACGACAATAATCATCTAAGATGTCTCTGCTACACACCATTCACTAGTTGTATATGACATTCTTATCGAAGAAAGGGGCCAATTTTGCAAAGATGGGCATGGTCATCATTTTTCAAGATGAAACGTTGTTTAAAGAAAATTATAAGGCAAGTTTGGGAATTGCACACTTCTCTCGTGGTAAGAGACATGGATTCTCAAAATTATGGACTTTAAAATAAGCCGAAGAATATGAAAGGTAAACACAGATGTCCAAAAGACCCACTTTAGGGTACAATATATTCTTGCCATGGGGTTCGTTATAAAGAAAATCCATCTAGTTGTTAGACGGTTGAGATGGACTCCAATTGGTGCATATGTGTACTATCAGGATCATCTATGCCCATGCAAAAGGTGTCGACCACCTACACATTAACTCCTTTTGCACATGTCATGATGTCATCCTAATGCTCAAAATTTATGGGGAAATTTAGTGTCCTTACAATTAGCAGTATTTAAAAATTTCCACTATATTTTCATTTATTCATGTCACTGTTTTGGTTTTGAGTATAAATAAGAAAACACATAAAAAAGGACACGACTGTAAAACATAAAACACATGGAACTTTTTTTAATACCTCTAATTGTAAGGAATAAATTTCCCAAATTTCTATCTAAAGTAAAAGAAATCTACTACTCCAACTAAAAGTACATAATAATTTTATTTAAATATTATGTTTTTAACACAGTGATTAACTACAAAAAATGCTCTTGTGGTAACATGGCCGAATTAATGGTTTGCTCGTATAATTTTGATTCAAACCTCTGAAGCTACATATGAGCGGATTCTAACCAACAATACATACAATATTTTTATTTAAACTACAAAGTTGATTGAAATATTTTTATTTATAATATAATGTTTTCAATCCCACTGGACTGGCTTGTTCAGCGATTCGACGTTGGTTTGATGATGATTCCGATCGGGGGGATGAAATGGACCAGAGTCACCACCTGTTCACTGATTCTCAGTTCAAGCCAGTTGATGCGGTCCGACTAAGACAATATTGATTTCAAGCTTAACTACTAATTTGATCACCTATAGTGATGGGTAGATAATTGAAAATGTGAGCGACTCTATTGATTCTATTTGTGCTTAAAAGAATTTATAGATTTGAATTTTTATATATTACTCAATAATATTGTTCAATAGAAATATCAATGTATATTTACAAATTTAAAATCATTTAGATTTATTGATGAAATAATTAAAAATATGAGTTTTTAAAGTTGTGCTCACAAAACAAAAATATTGTAGCTATGATTTGGATTTTAAAAAATTTGACCTTTTATATAAATTATTGGCCTTTAAATAAAATATTGATAAATAAAATGAATGTGAAATTTAATTAAATTGGATGTGTTGTTTCACTTCCGATTCAATTTTTTTCTTAAGGTTTTGTTTTTTGAGAAAGTATGTTTAACAATGGCCAGCATTAATCATAATCAAAGACAAAGCAGAATATAAATAAGCAAAAGTGGAATGCACAAATTGGCAAACAAAGAAGAAGCAATGCAATGGAAACAAGGAAATGGATGCCTTAAGGTAACTCACCTTCGGTGCAGGCCTTTCATAAATGGTCAGCTAGGGGATTGAGCGTGGGGAGTGTGGGCAAAGAGGAGTGTGGTAAGAAAATATTTGATTTGATCAACTGACAGGAGAGAAAGAGAGTGGCGGTGAAGATAGAGAGAGAGAGTGAGGAGGTGGGGAGAGATGTAGACGAGGTGGAGAGATTGGGAAGAGAGCAGACAGTGAGAGAGAGAGAAGAATAGGTTGTTGGGTGGGTGGGGGGGAAGGGGGGGGGTTTGCGGCGGCAGAGGTTTGAAATACATAAAAGGGACTTTGGAGAGAGAGAAGAAAAAAGCGGGGGTGGGGGCTGGCTCGGGGAGGTTAAATCCATAAAAGGGACTTTGGACTAGGAGGGCATTTCTAAATTCTAAGTAAAGAAAGGGGTGCTTTCATCCAAATCAACCCCCCTGACTGCACAGAGGGGATGTCTTGAAAATAAAAAGTTTGGGGGTGGATGTAGGGTTTAAAAATTCAGGTAGTGTTATGACAGCAAGTTATAGTCAGTTGGGGGGCTATGTAAATTTCCCTATTTATGCAGACTCTCTTTCCATTCTTCAGTGGTGGAATGTGTGAATGTACATCCAAAGTCAGATACCTCTGCGATAGAATTTTTGTTTTGAGGATTTTTACGTTCATGATAATTCTTTTGTGGTGGGTTTCAGTAAGGATATGGAACTTTTTCTACATGGCGCTTGAAACTTCAAATCAAATGCAACGCAGAATACTTTCTGCCACTGCAGAGTGTTCAGTTCTATTTTGATAAACACCGGTCATTTGTATGGGGCATAACATTAAAAGCGGTAGACTTTGAGTATTGCATTCTAATATCTGGTCCTTTTCTATAATTACTTCCATATTCTTGTTGACTTCATAAAATTCACCCATTAGATTTTCAGGAATTTCGTTTCTTATTCTCGTTTTATCAATAAGAATCCTGGAAGTTTTCTTACTTATTATATTCAAGTGGCTTGCTGTTCAGATTGTGAATGGGTAAGTGGTGTCCTAGATTTTGTACATTTCTATAACAATTTGTTTCATGCTGAAATTCAAATATTACATGTACAAAGGGTAGCAAACTATCTCCAAGCTAAAGTTTTTTTTTCACAGATGATATGAATTAACTTCAATTAAGCTAGCGTTTTAAGATGCTCATTATTAACATGATTTATTGTCATGCAGATATCAGCTCAAAACTTGAAAATAAAACGCCTTCGTGGAGATGAAATAAAGGTATAGTTTTGGGATCTGTTGTGAAGGCTAAGAATTGAGTTTCTCTCTAGGATCATGAGTCAATCCAGTGGTCATATGTAGCATGTACCGTGGTCATGGTATTTAATTTTTATGAATTGGATGTTTTTGAAGAACTTAATAAAGGATGACACAAACAATGATATTAAGATATAATCCAAATAATTTAGTAGAGAAAGGGAACACACAACTTGGTCGGAAAACTTGTCAATTTTGTTTGTGTTTTCCTTTATTATACTGGTTAATGTGTAAACCTTTGATTTGCTTATCCTCTTCTATTGCATGCCTCCATCATATGCATGATAACAGTTGTTAGTATGAAGTCAACACAAAAATGTGCTTCTCAACCTCATATAAACATGGAAGGTTCTAGTTTACTGGGTTCTTCGTTTCGGGAGCTTCACAAAGTTTAAATTTGTGGAGGGTATATTGATTAGCTAAGAATGGTGGAAAATTAAGAAGAACATGGCATGATAAATTAAGTGAAGCAGTATGAACTTCTGTTCTCTCTATCAGCGATTCCCTCAATCAGCGACAATGTTCCATGTATACTTACAAATCTCTGTCAATTAGAAAAATTAGATCTAACTTGTAGCCTTTCATCAAAGTGAGGCTTTAATGAACAATGACCTATCATTCAGTCTAGTGTGCTTTAATCTACAACTATTATTTGTATGGAAGTGCGCAATATGCTCTAGTTCCCCCCATGTCTGGCTTGCTGCATTTTTTACCGAGACTTCTATACAATGCATTTTGAAACTCTTGGTGAAGTAACCCAATCAAGACCATCTTTGCACATACAGTAAAAGGAATCCAATTTCATATCCAACAATAATCCTCAACAAAGAATCAATGGTAAAAGGAAAGAAACAAGTATATATGTTTTGCTCTTAGTTATTTGAAGCTCCTAAGGATGCGGGAGAGAGCAATGCTGAAGAGATGACTTTTCTTCAGAAATTGCGTAGGCATTTGATGGTAGTGTCAAGTTTGGGAGTGGAAATGTTACTCAAGTGTGAGATTTTTGTATATAAGCTTTTACTGTGATACTGTCTAAAAGGGAAAAGTCTTTCGCAGAGATTTAGGACAATATGAAATGGATTCATGGAAATGTGATAGGCTACAAGAAAATAAAGATCCCTTCATGATTCTGTTTACATTCTTTAGTAATCTGATCTTGAATCCTTGAGTTATTTCAAGCCTTGAAATGGCATCCACCATTAATTTAATGACTTCCATATGCCAAGTGAAAGTAGAGTAAGGCCAGGAGAGGGTTACGAACATTAACCATTCTGTAGAGGGGTCTATGGAATCCACACACATGGTCAATAACCTATCCTGAAGGCACATAAACGAGCATTTTATTTCTTAACCTTGCATTGTTACCTCTTTTCTTCCTTTTTTCCTGATTTTTAACTGAATATCATTTATATTCATGTAAAATGCTTTACAATTTATAACATTGCATCTATAAAACTGAATCTTGTGTAAGCACAACTGCAAACTACCAAAATATGAGCTTATGTTGAACAAACTTGCAGGCTGTACATTGGAATCAGTAATTGAGATTTGGAAATCCCCTATCTGGCCAGGGCATCTCCTTCATGGTTAGCCTCTCACCATGTTCTTGAGAGATTTGCAGCCTACTATATCAACACCAAATTTCATCGAATACAATTTGCAAGCACCAAGGACGTATCTATCCTTGTTTTACCATCTGATAACATAACTAGAATTCCCTTCTATGATAATTGACTCCCAACTCAAATCTAGATTACTAAGACCAAACACAAGTATCCACACCTCAGTTTCATATGAATTACGAACATGCAGCAGACCGGGGTCAAGTCTTTAATATGCAGTTATGCACCCTTAGTAGTCCCTTATGATTCCACACAATTGAGATTGCCTTTCAATCTACCATCAAAATTCAACTTTACAATTCCCTCCAGGTTGGATGCCACTTACTTGACATTTCATAATTATGTTTTTCCTGTGATTCTCATAGTCTGTCATTGTATAACCTCAGAATTCTTTCCTTGATATAGCACATGAAGTGATTGTGGATTCATGGTGCTCCTTGTCTAACTCAACTCCCATTTTTAATCTTTGAAACACCATCCTTTTTGCTCCAGCCATAATACTCAGAGAGTTGCTATGAAGTCAACCTTCATGGTACTAGACCCACATTTGATAAAGGTGAGGAGAACCACTGCTTGAACAAGGCTTTTATAGAATGGGGTTGTAACCATTGTAAAATTCAAAACTTTCAAAACCATCTCTGGGTAGCATGCGAACGGTCCAGGAATAGATGGTTTATAGTTATTAGCTTCACACACTAAACAGATGTTGGGTATTAGCATACCTCTACTTCTCAAATGGTCTGCTGTCAGCACTCTATCCAGGAGAACAAGCCATGCAAAAGCTCGAATCTTTGGCACCCCAGAAAGGGACAAGACTCTATTGCCAAAACTAATTTCCTCGGTCCTTCTTGTAAAGGCACTACCATCGACTTCAAACCCCATTTGCATCTGGGGTTCAGATTAACCTGTCTTCATCTTGCTTAATGAAGTAGCCATGTATTTGTTTCAGATCTATTCTCCCTTTTCCATTTAATTCATAGGACTGACTGCTGTGTGATCCTCATTGCTATCAACAAGACATGACATATGCTTAAAACATGCTCATATGTCTACTGAATTAATAGTTAAATAGTTTAAGCAACTTGTTGTCTACTTTCTCTAATGGAAAGTTGGCTATTTAGTTATGCATAGGGAGTGGATGTCTTAGGTTCCTGTTCTATTGAGTTATATGCTACAATTTTAGAAATTCATGGCGTGTTTTATGTTCAAATTAAATAAAGGTTAAGGGAGAAGCAAAGCAGACCAATAATTTACTTAAGCTCTAATATTCTGGTCCAAAAATGTGTATCGTACTCCAGTTCCATCTTTTCATCTTTGTGACTTCTCTTCCATGTTTGTTTTATGTAATGCAAGAATTTGGCTCTTATCTTGCAGGCTAGGCATTGGGATTCGTTCTACAAGTTTTATCAGAACACTACAGATAACAAGTTATATCCTCTTCTTTCTTTTTTGTTCTCTTTTAACTATAATATGCAAGTGAGATTGGAGATGTGACATCTAAATTTGATCATTGGCTGCAACAAAATTTGAAAATGAAACTGGCTTTTGACCATTTTATTTATGCCAATAGTTTTTATGATCAAGCAGATGAGTTTCTATATAACTTCAAGCAGTCAAGTTATTTATCATATTTATCTTTGTATATTTCTTTTTAAGATTATTCATTTGTGTGTAGGTGGGGTCGAGCTTATCTCACTAGGGATTTCTTCCATACTATTGGTTCCAAATTGGGAGATCGGGTATTGCTTGTTGTTGCTGAAGAAGAGGATGAACTTGTTGCAGGTGCCCTTAATCTTGTTGGAGGAGATAACTTATTTGGCCGGTTGTGGGGTTGTCACCCTCGAGCCTACTACCCAAGCTTACATTTTGAGGCCTGCTATTACCAGGTTTGAAACTCAAGAACTAAGAAAAGCTAAGAAATATAGGTTAGATTTTGTTATTGCAGAAGTTGGAATCATATTTTGGATTGATGATGTCACCTTTTTTTTTTTTGATAATTAACATTGTATTAAAACTGAATCACAATCGGATGCTATAATCAGAAATTTTGCTTCAACTGGAATAAAGTAGAGAAGACATAAATGCCATGTTGTTGAAACTCTTAAGAAGTAGGCATGGTACTTCTGAGTGACCAATGAATCTACTGAGGGGTAATGGAAGGGTCCTTCGTGAATCCAACTGAATGTTTTATCAACCACACATTTATCTTAACAGAAACGGTAGAGGAGGGATCAGGTCTTTTGTTGAGTCTCTTTGAGCTGGATTGCCCCTCAATTAGAATAGCATGATCTTATTCCATTACTGAGAACTTCGTTCCTATGTTCAGGTTTGAAGGGCTGTCCCCAGGAATTGTGTTTTCTTGATTATCTTCTGCATGGCTTATCTGTAACATGTCTTAATTGGGTTAGTCTATTACTGTCATCTTCCCTGAGAGCAGCCATTTAGTTAGGCGAGGTGATGCAGCGAAAAACAGAAATAATAAACAGAAAAAAATAAAAGATAAAATAATAGATGAGAGAATATACCCTCTCTTAGAGCTTTCAAGGAAGTCCATCCCAAAGACCTCTTCACAAGATCAAGAAAACTCTTTCTTTACTCTATTCACCATCTGTTTCATAAGTGGGATGTCTTTCCCTTAAATACAAACTAAAAAAAAAAGAGAATAAAATAACATAAAGTAAAACCCCAAAAATACTCTCTCTCTCCCTGTAACCTCCACGTTTTCTCATTCTAACCCACATGTTATTATTTCTCTCTTTTCCCATTACTTGAAGCCCATTAATTTAGGAAGCCCCCACCCATCTCTACGCCGTTCCTAATCTCTCCTTACTTTGTTAATGCTTTTCAAGCCATTAAGAGATAAGAACCTCAACCCCCATAAAAATATAAACTATATCCTGCATAAAAATCTAAAATAAATATACTAACTAACTCCCTTAGCAAATTTCCTATTCTAGCCCTTAATTCTCTATAACACCAAAAAACAAAAATAACCCTAAACCTAATAACTAAAAATGACAAAATAAAAAAATAAAAAAAACTCATTGCATCACGAGGGAGGGAAAACACTGCATGTTTCAGCTGTCCTATTTCGTTTTCTTTTTTTGGGGTTGTTGGGGGGGGGGGGGAGACTTAAAAAACTTTTAACATTTTACTAAAATAGGGGAAACTTGAGAAAATTAGATAATGTTAATACCAGATGATAAGATAAAGGAAATCTAATTAATGGAAATGAAGATTTTGGTAACAAAAATGAAAAATAATTTCAAAATTATTATCATATGTTATACTACTAAATTCTATCGGACATCTGTTCATATGTGCGCATGTGTGTGTGTATGGATGAATTGATGATGATGATGAGAACTATTGGTCTTATCATCATCATCAACAACAACAATAACATTAATTTAATAAATTTGCAGAAATTGAATTATATACTCTTCTATACTCGGCAAAAATGCCAGCTCATTTGTGGAAGTATTGAGCATTGCCATAGGCAATAGAAGCAGCGATTGAGTTAAAGCTAAGCACAGTAGAAGCTGGAGCCCAGGGAGAACATAAAATTCAGCGTGGTTATTTGCCCGTGACAACATATAGTTGCCACTACATCCGGAATGATTCTTTCAAGCAAGCCATTGAGGACTTTCTAGTGCATGAGACAGAACAGGTAATCCATTGCTTTCTAGTTTTTTTTCAAGTATTCTGCAACACTTACTAGAACTTAAAGTCGATTATACTGAAGAGTATCCTATATGTTCATAGCTTCTATTGTTATGTGGTGCTTTACGGTAGGAGAAAACATATACCATAATCCAATGTATTATGAGAAACCTTAGTTCATTGGAGTCATCACCATCCAATCTAATGAAGGATGGTGATGGAGAGATGGTGGAACCTGCGTTGGTTTTGATTTTCTTCTTTAGACGCAAACCAACATTTTTCATGCCCTGTTCTTGTCGGTTGCACTCCATCATTTCAATGGATGGTGATGATCCAATTGGATTGTCATATACTTTTCTCTAGATTATGCAAATTTGGCACGTGTCTAAGAAATATAGTTTCATCAATGTCCACTTGGAAGAATATGTGTGGTATGTGGTTTCCAATATATGCTGAATTATTATTTGAGATGTTTGTCAAAGTCCTCCATGCAATGGCAAGACAAATGGTCCTTCCTGCGAGGGATATTTTTTTTTTGGCATATAGATCAGTGGAGAATGGATCCCATACCCATGGTAAAAATGGAACTCAAGACATCATGTTGTTGCACCCACCACTCTAACCACCTATGCCTCGAGCCCATGCCTTAGAGGGACATTTCATTATGTGTTGCTATGCATATCCAAAATCTATCATTATTATGTCTGGTAAATCTCCCATTTGCTAAACTACTTCCTATCGAGTGAAGCATGTCATTGTCAGCTCATCAACAATGTTACTGCATTTCTTATCATCTTTAGCCTCATCGCTGTCATTTTTCATTGTTAGGATGACGTTATATGCTATTAAGCTAAATATTGAAAACTATGAATATTTCATTGAAATCATTTCACCACCTTGGAAGTATTTTTTGTGAGCATTTGTTATTTAAGGATTGGCTATTTCAACTTTTTAGCAATTATAGAAGTGCATACTACTGCATGAACTTTAAAATCCAAAGATGAGTTATAGTATACCATATATCTTATTGTACTTCAACTTTGCTTGGATTTCTTTGCCTTGAGCAGTCCAATACTCAGAAATGCTGCTTATTTATCATTCTAGTTTATGATCTTTAAACGTTAACAAAAGGAACCACAGATGCTGTTACATGTTCAATTTTATGCCATAACCCTCTGACTCTACCTCTCTCAAACAAGAAGAATAATAGGCTTGTAAATGGGTTAACCCAACCCTGACTCGACTTGATATGGACTTGGAACGATCAGGTTAAGGTCAACTGGACTGCAACGTGATCAGCCAGGTCCAGCATGTTAGTCCAGACCTGGACTGGGTCGGGCTGGCTGGTCGATTGACCCCTTTATCACCCCTATGGAATCATTCTCTTTATCAATTCTATACCGAAACCTCCTATTAATTACAGCATAATTTTGGCTTCCATGATTCCCCCTATAGTAGTCTGCAAAACCTTTGGCTCCATGCAAATTTCAGTGCAACAATATCTTACTTCTGCTAACTAAAAATATTAGATTTGCATTCAATGGTGAACTATGTAGTAAATCAGTACATGAAACTCCACAAGTCCTGCTCGGCGTGCAGCCGTGTCTGAAGAAGAAAACCTTGGGAACCGGCCATGTCTTCTATTCTTAAGTTTTTCGATACTTGGCTGAGTCAGTAACAGACTCATCAAAGTCGAGTTGCTTGGGCTCAAGCTCGGGAAGCTAGTGAGTCCCAACTTGAGTCCTTGCTTTAAATGTTATGGCATGGAAGTGTTTGATTCAATTTCTTTTGTGAGTTTTTTCATTCTTTTCTTCTGGTTTTTTTTTTTCTTTTTCCAAATGACTTTATCTTATTCACATGCTTATGGAATCTTTTATAAATTTTGTCCGATAATGTGTCTTATTTTCAGGTTAAGCTTGTTGTGAAAATGTTGAAAGATTCAAGTCCTTTCAAGGAAAATTAATTTAGCGGGTGAAATTTATCTCAATCTTACCAAAATTGTGATCATAGCTGTGATTGTAATATACGTCTTCTTTGTGGCTCGTCTGCCTGAACTTGTAATCAGTAGCAATGTATTTATTGTAATTGACAAATTAAACATGTAAATAACAGTTAAAAAAAAAACATGTAAATAGGGGAATGGCGGATGATGCTTCAATATCAACCTGCTAGTCTTAATTCGTGTGTGCGCACGCGCGTGAGAGAGTGATGGACCCCTAAATAAGAGAGAAGGTGGACCTACAACTAGATAGAGAGAGAGAGATGGATGGAAGTGGACCTGCAGCTAAATAAGGGGGGGGGGGGGAGGGAGGAGATTGAGAGAGAGGGAGGGAGGGAGTTTATAGATTAAAATGTAGAAATATTTATGGGCCAAAATGCCAAAAAATGTCTTGCATCCCAGGTTTGAATGCCACATTTTAACTTGCGCACTCTGTAGGCCCTGATTGTCATATCAAAGACATTTAAGAGCCATGCTTTCTTTTTGCCTTTTATGGGCCATTGTATTCTTCTTTTGAGTCGGAGTTTTAAAAATGCCGATTGAATCAGATGGGAATTGCTTGCTTGATTAGGATTGGGAATGGTTGGGGCCAGAATTTCTTTGATGGAACTGGCCAATTTGGCCTATCTCGACTGATCTTTTGGATGGGTGATTCAGATCTTGGATTCGTTTTTTTTTTTAACATTGCTTTTGAGAATTAGTTTTTCTGTTTTTCTATTTATCTTCTTATAAAAAGAGGGAAAATATGTTTTTGTTTTCAAGTCTTACATGTGTTTTGACAGTGTTTTGTAGCAATGTTGTCATATTCGTATCGCTTTGACCGAAGCGACCAAAGCCTAATAAATAATTTCTTAATAGTTTTTAACTTCATGTTGCTATGATGGAACTTTATATTGAATTATAATAAATTATATTGAACAAAATTCAAAC